CATCCCCGGCTTTAATGAAAGTGGCCATTCTCATTAACTTGTGGCAATTTTTAGGCTTCGGAAGAGCGCCGGCTTTTATGAGAGCTGGCAAAAAGCTCGACATTGCCTCAGCTGACAGGTTATCCTCAAGGGACCCGGCTGGCTGGGGCGTATTTTTCCATGAGATTTGGGGGAGAAAAAAGTTTTGCTGTTTGTTGATGGATGGGGGTGGAGTGGGGGAGAAGGCATGGATACTGGCCCTGCCTGCTCATTGTGTCTGATATGGTACATTCTGTTGGAGAAGGTGGTCTGCCTTGGTTCTTCAGCAGACACGGAATGTCAGCAAACACATCAAGATAGCAAGATGAAAAGCATCTAATATACTCCCTTTTTTCCTTCATCATCCTCTTCCTCACTTTCCTATTCTGCTTTCCACCCTTTCCACGTTCTGCTCTTGCCACTTTCGATCCCACCTTTCTCCCAGCTATGGAGGGAAAAAATGTGGCTCTCAACCCGTCACTTAACCCTGCAGAGTGCCCTTCTGCAAGGTCCAGCTGCCAGACTCCAGCTCCTCAGAGAGAGATCTCTCTCAGGTTTGCTGCATATGAACCAATGGGTCCTTCTCTCTCTCTCTCTCTGCAAAGATCCTGCAAACAGAGGAGGTCACCTAAAAGGGAGCGTAAGCGCATTCGAGAAGCAACGAGTCCTGGGGGAGAGGGAGGTGACATGAGGTCGGCACGGTGATGGCAACGAAGATGAAGGTCTTCAGTTCCTTTGCCAGCAAACTATGAGAAGGCAGTGGTTAGGATCAGAACATTTAAACAAAACAGAGACACCAGGACCGCAGATGTATTGTCGTGACCTAAAGCCAAAGGCATCTTAATTTTTCAGAAGATATGATCAGATGTAATACATCTATTAACAGTGCTTTATGGAGGAACACTTAATCTGTTCCCCACTCCCCCCCAGCCCCAAATCTATAAATCAAGTATATTAAAGGAGTGAAATAAGAACCTTTACACCTCTTCCCCCTGGACCTCGAGTCCCACAGAGTCGGGGAGGGCTTACCCCTAGAGGGCTGCGATTCCTGTGTTTCATTATAATACTTCCATCGTGGGTTTTAAAAAAAAATATTGCCCTGTTTTCGACCGCTTTATTCGCCAGGCTGTTGAACAAAACCGCGTTGCATAAGCCGGATCTTCAAAAATGCACCCTGTTGCTCAATCGGTGGAGACGCTGGACCTGGTGACTGCACAAATACAAAACAAAACAAAACAAAACAGCCACTGCCGGGTTTGTTTGCTTTGGACTTTCTGGGCCGGTTCCTCTCCTGAGTTGCTCCTCCTTTGCCGTTGCCAAGAACCAGTCCTGGCCGGCCCTTTTTTTGCCTCTTGCGGTGGCTTGGAGGATGAAGTATGGGGCGGCTGCCTAGCAACCCTACATTCCCCAGATGTTATTGCCATTGCTAGGCAACCACAAACACTCCCTTGCTCCCTCCCACACCTCTGTGTTTAGGGTTCTTGGGCTCAAACACCCAGAAGCCTTCCCCAGGAGCTGGGCTGGCAGGTGTTTCTGGGAGTTGCAGTTCAAGAGCACCCGGGTGACTTTCAAGGTTGGGAAGCGCGGCTCTCCAGCAGCTCTTTTCAGCCCTGCCAGATCATGTCCTGCATCTTTAGCTGCTGTGAAAGTGTAGGGTTGGTTCTCTCCCCCCCAGGCCCCTAAAAGGTGGCCCGGCAACCCTTCCCCTCTGGCTGAACCTAGTGAAGGCTTCTGGGAGTTGCAGTCCAAGAACATCTGGAGGCCGAAGGTTGGGGACCCCTGATCTAGGGGACAGGCTTGAGCATGTGCAAAGGGCCTTCTTGGTGGCTGCTCTTGGGCCACATAAAGCACTTTCCTTCTAGGCTTTGCAAGGAAGGACCTTTCTCTTGAGACGAGGTATTCTTGGGCTGTCTTCCAGACCATCTGGGGAAATAAGAGCTTGTAACAGATTGATCCTTTTAGACCTGCAGAGCTGGAAGGGACCGTCGAGTCCAGCTCCTGCCCAGGAGGCACCAAGGAAGAATCAAACTCCCAAACTCCGGCTCTGCAGCCTGAAACACTGAGTTATACAGCAGTTCTTTTCTCTCTTTTTTTAGCAATGCCTTTCACATTTATTTTTGAAATTTGAAAAGCTCCAGATGTGTTGGACTACAAGTCCCACTGTCCCCCCACCAACCCGGCCAGTGGGATGATGGAAGCTGTGGTCTTATAGCCAGGAGGGGCATTTAGCCAGGAAAGCCATAATGTCCAAACAGGGACAGAGAAGAGCTCTGTGAATTTTCCAAAGCTTGGAAAGTTTTCTCCCCCCGCCCCGACTGCAACTCCCAGAATGCCCAGCCAGCCAAACTCTGGAGAACTGATCCAGTCCCCCAACCCTCCCCAACTGTCAGCCACAACAGGATCGAAGCCTAGTGGGTGGTGAGACAGAGAGAAAGAAAAGAGGAGGTTGTGGACCCAAAATATGTGCCCCTGGTTTGTTCGTCTGTCTGTTACGTTTATATCCCTACCTATCCCGGGCCCAGTGTGACATAAATGGCTCTCTTCCTTTCTCCTTACAACAACCCTGTGAGGTAGACCAGGCTTAGAAAGCCTGATGGGGCCGAAGTTATCGAGGGGTGGTGAGACAGAGAGAAAGAAAAGAGGAGGTTGTGGACCCAAAATATGTGCCCCTGGTTTGTTCGTCTGTCTGTTACGTTTATATCCCTACCTATCCCGGGCCCAGTGTGACATAAATGGCTCTCTTCCTTTCTCCTTACAACAACCCTGTGAGGTAGACCAGGCTCAGAAAGCCTGATGGGGCCGAAGTTATCGATTAAATCTCACGGCCCCATGGGATTTGAACCCAGGCCTCCTCCGTCCTAGTTGAGCGCTCCAACCTCTAGGCTGCACTGCCGTTACGGATGGGAAGGGCAGCTGCTGGATGAGAAGGCCTCCTGGTCGGAACCTCACAGGGCTTTTTTTAGGCTGTACAGAAAAGGCAGGAGAGATGAGCCAGCCGCTGTGTATACGCATACCAGGCTTTTCTCTCCATGGTTTAATATTTACTCAAGACTTTTGCACTCCCAGAATCCTGCCTCAAAGAAATCCCATTCCAAGCTGCTGGGTCACATCCTTAAGCTATTTTTAAACTTGTTTCTCTCCTCGCTCCGTTCGCTCGCTCGCTCGTGAACGAATCGCCAATGACATCTTTGCGCCTTTTAGCTTCTCTGGTGGCTTCCTCTTTCTGTCACCATGTGAGGAAATGGTTTGAGGCCTGACAGGTGGGGGATCTTGCCCCTTCCCAGAGAGAGGAGGGGGCACAAAAATATATATCTCTTTCTCTCAAAGATATGCCAGCCAGTCTGGTAGCTGACTCATCCGTTTGACGCCAACGATGTCTGGAGTCACCTGACCCGCATCCTGGCAGTAGATCACGTGACTGGACCCCACACACACACCCTCACCCCCAGCTGGCCACACTTTTATTTTAAGGCATGAGAAAGCCCTTGCAAAGAAACATCTGAGTCATGCCAACCCAAGTCCGGCACTGTCGTTGCTGTATAAGGAAGCTCTGGGCAGTTATTAATATTTGGAGGGAGGTGGAACGATGCTGGAGGGGGCAGCTGAAGCTGCAGCAGGCGCCTCCCCCCCCCATGCAGCAGACTTTGCTTCCCCCTCACCACCAGTCTCCATCCCTCGAAGGGCCATTAGCTATCCTTGAAAATAAGAGCGAAGCACACCTTCTAGCAACTTATAATAGATCCAAAGTCATCAGATTCCCGGTGCTCCTCATCGTGCTGCTATGTGTGACAGAGCCACCTCTCTTAATCCTTCGTCACAATTCCACCGTTGCCTGATATATGGCATCTATTGAGCACAGTCCAGACATTTCAGTGCGCTTTGTGGGCGCGATCGGAGACAAAGGTGGAAAAAGTTATTTTTAGACTGCCTAACAGCTGCCAGAATCCTCCAGCTGTCATCCTCCATGGCCTTTCTAGCTGGGCGATTCTGGGTGCTGTCATTGCCATCGTCATCATCCTCCCCATCATGTCATGCTCACGTTCCAATTGTTTCCATGCGCATCATCCGGCATTCAGGGGGTAAGCCTTTGATTTTTATAGGGATGTTTTGCGTTTTGCTTTTACTCCGCCTGTACTAAAAATGCTGGACCTTGCAAAGAATGGGCCCCACAGCAAAAGCTTGGCTTAAATTAGTAGAGAAGGAGAAAGGTCAGATTTTAATTATATATTTTTAGTGCAGATGGAATGCCAGGGAAGGCCAAGCAGAAGAAAATAATGGTTCTCCTGGATCAGGCAGAAAGCTAAGAACAAGCTATACGTTACGGAGCGTGCATCAGTGGAAGTGAGAATTACTTGTAAGATAAGAAGGTCTGATTGCTTCAGCAGGCATCTTTCCATGCTTCCTATCGTTTTTACAACTTACCTTGCTTCGTTTTGTGATTCGTCTTCCAGACATAAACACAGGCTTCATTAGCAAGTCTGACTTCTCAGTCACAGAGCGTAGCCAGAATCACATCTCTTGAGAGAGTGATGCTTCTAAAGACATGCTATCAGTAACATACCTGTTGGCCCTTAGTTTAGCTTAGCTTTCTCTTTCCAACAGTGGACAGATTATTTATTATTTTACTTAACTTATGTATTTTATGTATCCTTCTGGGCAAGCAGGCTTAGAGAGGACCACTCACCATTGAGCCCAAAGTTCTTTAATACTGAGGGAGATGGGAAATAAATCTCCCCCTTTCCCTCTCTCCCCTCTTTTTCTCTGGCTCTCCCAGAGAGAGAGAGAGAGAGAAAGAAAGAAAGAGAGAAGGAGCTTTCTCTGCAAGACAAATATTTTGCCCTGGGTTGGTTTTGAATCTTCTGCAGCTTTTTTCTCTCCCCTCCTTTTCCTTGTCTTGTTGTGGAAAGTCTACATTTACCACGTGCGAAGCCCTTTCCCTCCTTTCTCCAAATAAACCTTCCTCGGCTTCTCTTTCCCTCCAGCGGAGCCGGTGACGTCCAGACTGAAAGAGCTCCGGATGCAGCGAGATGATTTTGAGATCCTCAAAGTGATTGGACGAGGGGCCTTCAGCGAGGTGAGGGATCCAGGAGCCTCACCGCGCAAACAACAGGCAGGCCCCCCGGGGGTGCCGTGTCCCAGCAGGACTGGGTGTCCCGCTGGACTAACCTTCTCCACAAAGTTTTGCATGCATAGAAACAGAGGTGGCGTCAACCCTTCATGGGAACATCAAAAGCTTGGGTCCATCACAAGAGCTTTGGGTAGGATCCTTTCCTAGCCCTACCTGGAGATGCTTAGGATCCCCTGGTGTCTCTCATCCTGACATGGACCTAGTCCATTCCTATTTAACCTTCCGAAATCTGATGAGATGAGGTGTGTTCAGGGTGGTGTGCTGGTACTATTGACCCAGAGATTCGTAAAAGGGTAAATATGTCGCATTCAGCATGTGTAACAAAATCTAAGCTGACTGGACAGTTCAGTGGTTTTCAGGCCATCTCATTGCAGAGCTAGAAGTTGGGAGTTCGATTCCCCGGTGTGCCACATAAGAGAAGAACCTGCTTGTGTTGCCTTGGGTGAGCTGCGCACCGCCCCAGGGGCACCCTTGGAAGAAGGGGAAGGAAGGGTGAACCCCTTGTGTGCGTTCTCTCTTTGGAAAACACAGAGAAAGGGTTGATGTAGGTCAGAATTGACTTGACTGCACATGATTATTTATTATAACACAATCAAAACTAAAATCTTGGGGTATCGCTAAACTGAAGAGGTTTGTACTGTATCATTACCAGCCTTTGTAAATGACAAGACTGCTTCCTCAAACACAATGTATCTAGACCCACTGGGGGATTCTGGGAACTGTAGTCTTGCACATCAGGAGAGTGCCAGGTTGAGGAAGGCGGATCCAGAAGATGATGAGAGTTCTTCCTCCCCCCACCCCCGTCCGCCCACAGTCCCATCCTTGATCTGTCCTTGATCCCCTTCCATTTATGCTGACTCTGATGTTGGCTTCCTAGTGGGGTGTATTAAAATATGATCTGGCCGGCTTGCATTTGTGGGGACCAACATGGCTGAAATTCCAAGGAGAAAACCTAGAATCGTAGAATGTGTTGAAAAAGGGGCCTATTTTTTTAATTAATAAAAATAAAATAAATAAAATAAATTGAGCCCAACTCTCTGCTCAAAGCAGGAATCCCAATCAAAGCAGATCTGACCAATGCTGTCCAATTTTCTCTTGAAGGCCTCCCGCGCTGGAGTGCTCACCGCCTCCTTCTGAGATAATTGGTTCCGTTGTCGTACGGCTCTAACAGTTGAGATGTTTTTCCTGATCATCAGCCAAAATCTAGCTTCCTGTAGCTTGAGCTAATTATTTAGTGCCCTGCACTGTGGGATGACCGAGAACAGATCCTGCCCCTCCTCTGTAGGGCTACCTTTCAAGTATTTGAAAAGTGGTCCCCTCTCATCCCTCAGTCTTCTGTTCTCAAGGCAAAGCATGCCCAGTCATTTCAGCCTTCCCCCACTGGACTTGGCTTCCAGCCCCCTGATCTTCCTGGTGGCCCTCCTCTGAACTTGCTCCAGTTTGTTGGCCTCCTTCTTCCAAGTGCGGAGTCCAGAACTGGACGCAGGATTCCCGAGGAGGCCTGACCAGTGCTGAATAGAGGACAACCTGACGTCAGGCCTCTTCTCTGGCTTGTGTTTTACCTGTGCAGGTGGCGGTTGTGAAGCAGAAGAGGACGTCCCAGGTGTACGCCATGAAAATAATGAATAAATGGGACATGTTGAAGCGAGGAGAGGTAGGGGCGAAGGTGTTTTATTTTTGAAAAAAAAACATACCTCTGTTGTGTTATGAGCTGCCTTGGATCCCCAGCTCTGTGAGGAAGGTGGGACGTTATTTAAATGAATCAACGAGCTTGTCCACACAGCAAGGGAGGCAATTTGTCTTTACCCATGTTGCGGAATCGAGGAACCCCGAGGCTGGCTGACAGTATTTTGCTCGGAGCCCAGGAGTGATCCGTGGCTGAGCTGTCACCGAAGGATGCTCAGAAGCCAACCTGAGATCACCAAAGGCGGGGCCTCCGGGCTGTCCTTCCTTCTTTCCGCCAGGTTTCCTGTTTCCGAGAGGAGCGGGACGTTTTGGTCAACGGGGATCAGCGCTGGATCACGCAGCTGCATTTTGCTTTTCAAGACGAGAATTATCTGGTGAGTGCCGTCGCTGGGCGTGAAGGAACGACTTTCGAATGCTAGGAACGATAGGGCTTGGCCAAGCCTGAGAGTGGGTTAACCCTGCCTCTGGGTAGCTCCGGGATTTACAGTAGGTACTTTAGCTCCAGGGCTGGAGGTCAGGTGGATGGGTAGAAGATAGGCAAGACTTGGCTTAAAAAGGGATGAATCCTCACTGCTTTCTCTCCATGTTTCTCACCCCCCACCCTGTAGTATCTGGTTATGGACTACTATGTCGGGGGTGATCTCTTGACACTGCTGAGCAAATTCGGGGACCGCATCCCTATGGAGATGGCTCGGTTCTACCTGGCCGAAATGGTGATGGCCATTGGCTCCATTCATCGCCTGGGTTACGTGCACAGGTGAGCAGGCTGGTGGCAGAGGGTCAGGAGACCTGGGGCGAGTTATGGGCTGGGTGTGTGTGTGTGTGTGTGTGTGTCGGGAGACCTGGGGTGAGTTATGGGTTGGAATCTCTCATCAGAGGAGGGACCAAGGGGAACCCGAAACCTTGCACGTTGTGTGGATGTGCAGCAGACCCTAAGAAAGGTTTCAACCGCCTGCAGACGTTGCTTTTTCTTCTGTTCCGATGGATCTGCATCCCTGCTTTCATGTTCCAGAATGACTTGCTTGCTTTTTGCAGGCGTTGTGCCTTTGCTTATTGCTTTTTTCACTGTTTTTCATGGCTTTTGTAAAGGTTAAGAGTTAATAAGAAAGCAATTAACATTATTTCACACGCACCCTGTCCTTTTTTACCCCTACCTCTGAATTCTAAAACAGGTAAGGATACTTGCCTGCCAGGGGAGCGACCTTGATCATAAATTCCAAGACAGGCAGACGCGCCAAAACCTCACAACTGCAGGGTCTTGAGTTTCCTGGCGAAAATTAGCCCCTTGATCATAAATTCCAAGACAGGCAGACACGCCAAAATCTCACAACTGCAGGGTCTTGAGTTTCCTGCCGAAAATTAGCCAACCCCAAACTCGCTCTCTTGCCTGCTGGTAGGAATCAGAACTGGGGGGGGGGAAGGGGGGTATTTACCCCCTCCCACAAAATGCCCTCTGGGATTTCTGGGCTAATCTGTTGGCAGTTAACCCTTCCAGTGCCCTGGTGTTGCAGTTCAGGTGGGGCAGGAAGTTAAAGACTTCCTCATCTGTCTTCTGTTTCCCAAAGAGGCCAAGGAACATCTCTCTCTCTCTGTGTGTGTGTGTGTGTGAGGGGTGGAGGGGTGGGAGGATGATTCCTCAGCCTTCGTGACTAACATCCCACCCACCCTCCCAGTTCGAACCGCTGGGTCTCTGAGGTTGGCTAGGCCTCCATGCGCTCTGCTCGCCTGCCGGAGCCAAAACAGCCATAAACGTTGTCCTAGATTCATAATCGCCTAATTCATCTCATTCTGAGCAAGGCAGCCTGGGCTCCCCTCCAAATCACATGGGCAGCCCGGGCTTGGGAATGCATGGAAACGCTGGTGGGGGAGCAGAACGGAGGAGACGAGAGAGAGAGAGAGAGAGAGAGAGAGAGAGAGAGAGAGAGAGAGAGAGAGGACTCCCCAGGGAGGAAAGAAGGGTCCAGTGGGTGCCCTTGGAACAAGGCCGGGCGCTCCGCTTGGCCCTCCAAATAATCCACCCAAATACACCACACCTACCCATCCGAGAGAGCCAGTGTGGGGTACGGGGTTGCCGCTTTGGACAGCGACTGTCTGTTGGAAGATGCAGGTTCAAATCCTGGCGAAGGCCCAATGAGATTAGATGCCAGGCTTTGCAGTTAGGAGGTGAGGAAACGTTCTCCTTCCAAAGATGGCGTTGTTCAGAATTGCTCAGTCTGCACAACCCGCTTGCCCTGACCGGTCACCCAAGAAAAGCAAGCTGACTCGCAACTTACGAAGCTCCGAAACCTCATGCAAGATCACGTAACTTCTTAAAGAGCTCTGCTTTGTAATGGCGGGCTCATTGTAAGAGCTGCTTCCACTCTGAACCCTAAAACCCACAAGGTGATATTCTGAGCCTCCTGAATGTACAAACCCAATTGTTATTTCTTTATTATTGGTTACCTGCCCATCCTGCCTTTACACCACATTTTTATAGCTCTCATCCGATTGCTTCATCCTCCCTGTTAGATCCTACCTGTAAAATAAGTCAGGCTGAATGAGCGTGACTGGCCCATGTGAGATTTCATGGCTGAGCAGGGGCTAGACGGTTGTTATAAGCCATCAAATCACCTCCTATTTATTGCGACCCATGAATGAGCCCTCTCCAAAATGTCCTGTCCTCAACAGCCCTGCTCAACTCTTATAAATCCAAGCCTGTGGCTTCCTTTATGGAGTCAATCAATCTCATATCTGGCCTTCCTCTTTCCCCACTGTCTTCAACTTTTCCTTGCATTATTGTCTTTTCCAGTTCATTTTGCCTGTCCAAACTCCGATCTGATGCTTTAACCACGACACCATGCTGTCTCTCTTGTAGGTGTGGTCCCTACATAAATGGATGTCTCAGCTCTTCTGTCTCCCACCCCCATCCCCTAGGACTCAAAAAAACATCTTAATGCCCTGTTAGGATGATGGCTGGGTTTCCTCTTCTCCTTCTCGGCAGGGTTCCCCAAAGCTTTTGGGTGGGGTGCCCAGCCCTCCTCCTGTCTTTCTGCCCTACTTTTTAGCATTACTGCCGGGCGAATGGCTGCGAATTTGATGAGGAATGTTTTGGAGTTAGGAAGGGAGCGAAGGCTTGGCAGGGAGAGCCCTTGGCTGCATCATGCAATGCGGAAGAGCCTTGATTTTTCAAGTAGGATGCTAGAAAGTCCATTTGGGGGATGATCGCTCTCAAAATCTTCCAGACAGGATGCTGTAAGGGTGACCCTGGAAGCTTTGATAAAAAAAAACCACCCCACAACTTTTACATACTGTATTTTTTGCACCATAAGACTCACTTTTTTCCCACAAAACAGGGGTGTGGAAAGTCTGTGCGTCTTATGAAGCTAAGAAAACAGATTATATTTTCCTGTTTTCTTCTCCTAAAAAATTGGTGCGTCTTATGGAAAGGTGCATCTTATGGAGCAAAAAATACGGGTACTTTGGAGTAAATCCATATCTATATGAGGTTTGAGAACTATAGTTCAAAAAGTTCCTTTCCAAAAATGAAGATGTCTTTATTCTGATCTCTGGTCTTTAGAAACAATACTCTGTGTTGTGTTTTTTTTAACTGTAGTTTCTGGTATTTAGCTAAGTTGAGAAAGCCATCTCCAAAAATGAAGATGTCTTTATTCTGATCCCTGGTCTTTGTGTTGTTGTTGTTTTTGTAACTGTAGTTTCTGGTATTTAACTAAGTTGAGAAAGCCATGCACCAGGTTTCAATCCAAGACCCCAGTTCCAGTCTAGAATGAACTACAATACGACTGATCTGAGAGTCTCTGAGCATGTGCAGATTCTGCCTTCTTAGACTCATTAAGGGAAGACGAGAAAAACAGCTTGTTTCCAACCAGCTCAGGAAAGACTGTCTTTGAGGACAGGGCCTCAGCATGGCTGATTTCAGGAATTAAGCCATGGTTTTTATGCAGCCTGTCTCACTGACCAATCTCTCTCTCTCTTTCTCTTGACCCCCGACCCCACCCGGGCAGAGATATCAAACCAGACAACATCCTACTTGACCGATGCGGGCACATCCGACTCGGAGATTTTGGCTCTTGTCTCAAACTCCGCGAAGATGGGACGGTGAGACAGGGATGTGAGTGGGGCATAGCGGGGCTTAGCTGCAGAAATAGTTTGCTGCATGAAGGCTGAATTGTGTAATTGTCTCTCTCTCTCTCTCACACACACACACACAAACAGAACAATGAGATGTAGTCATGCCCTAAATATCATGGTTAAGGAGGGCTTCCCTTGTCCCCGTGCTACCATTTTATGCCAGGCTGTCTCAGGGCTCAACTCTACATTATAGCTAACCTATCATTAGAAAGGGAAATTCCTTAACAGCTCAAAGCATCTGACTGGCAGAGCAGGATATTTTCTCTCTTCCTGTAACGTGTAAATTAACCTCATTGTTTTTATGGTGGGTCTTCTCAGCAGAGCCCAGCAACTTGTTTGCAAGTTCCTATTTTCTCAAACACAAAAATTACCAGAATCAGATATCTAGAACATGAACATGATTTCAGGTACGGTGGGCCCCGCCCATCCGCTGGATCAGCATTCATTGATCCATTGCCTGAAAATATTAAATAAAAACCCACGGAAATATGTATTTTTACCATTGTGTATTTACCAGAATTCATTAAAGGGAGCCAGAGACAATGTTACCTATAGCGTTCACTATTTCTGCGTTTTTCGGCATCTGCGTGCGTGTAGGTGTGTTGGAACCAATATCCGGTGGGTCCACGGGCTGGAACGTTGTTTTCTGACCCAGCAGGGGTGCTCTCCTGATTTCCCTTTTCCTTGGTCTCGTGGCGGCTAGGTCTGCTCCACCGTGGCCGTGGGCACCCCGGATTACCTCTCCCCTGAGATCTTGCAAGCCGTGGAAGACGGAGCTCCTTCGTACGGCACAGAGTGTGACTGGTGGTCCCTGGGAGTCTTCGCCTACGAGATGTTCTTCGGCCACACCCCTTTCTTTGCCGATTCCGTGGTGGAAACCTACGGCAAGATCATTCATTTCAAAGTAGGTTGCTGGAAGCGCCACACAGCCTGCGTGTCGGCCTGTGTGTGCCTGTTCATTACTTTTTTAAAATTGCACTCGTTTACTCCATTTGGTCGTAAACCTCCCGGAATGGCCTTGGTAGCCAGATGGGCGGCATATGAATTCAGCAAATAAACAAACTACAGGAAGCCAGATTTAAGATGAATATCGGGGGAAAACTTCTCAACTGTTAGAGCGGTACAACAAGGGAATCCACGACCTCGGGAGGTGATGAGCAGGGCTCCAACGCTGGAGGCCTTCAAGAGAAAATCGGACCACCCTTTTGTCAGATCTGCTTTGATTTGGATTCCTGCCTTGAGCAGGGGGGGGGTTGGACTGGATGGCCTTAAGAGGCCCCCCCTTCCCACTCCAGGATTCTAGGATACAGTTAAAGATCAATAATCCATCTGCTGTAGGAAAGGCTTCCCCTTCATGGCTGTAAAAGAGGACTCAATAGTGGGTGATCTTAACTTTTCTTTCCGAAGGAGCACTTTCAGTTCCCTCTCTCGGCGCCGGACGTCCCTCCAGAAGCTCAGGCCTTGATCGAAGGGTTGATTTGCCCTCGGGAGACCAGGCTGGGGCGCCACGGAGTCTGGGATTTCCAGCAGCACCCCTTCTTTGCCGGCGTCGACTGGGAGAACCTACGGGACTGCGTGCCGGCCTTTGTGCCGGAATTTGCCAACGCCACGGACACGTGCAACTTTGATGTGGTGGACGATTGTCTCACTGACATGGTGAGCGGGGGAGGGGTACGTGCCTTTTTTCTCTTTTTTTCCCTTCGTATCCCCCCCCTTTCTCCTCCTCATTCCGTGTTGGTTTGTCTTTTTTAAGTGTAGGCTTAAATTGGTTTCGTTGATTTCGCAGCTGAGAAGAGGCGTGGGGAAAGGAGGGTGCATGGGACCTCCCTGCCGCCCCCCCCGAGGTAGTTTCTGTGACCCATCCTCCTCCCCCTCGTGGCCTGGCCATGCTCCCCCAGCAGAAAACAAAATTGGGAAAGGTTTTTTTGAGAGCCCAAAGTAGGGGTGCTGGATTTACCCCCAAAGGAGTCGTGACTTCACCACTTCTCCCAAAGCCCTTTTGCATGAAACAAAACCCTCCTAATTCTGGAAGTTGCTACATTAAAAAAAAGAATAAATAAACCCTACACTTCAGAGGGTTATTATGGGCTATGGTGGCTCCTGCGGGAAGAAAATTGCCCCCACCCTTCCAAAGTGGTCCACATCCTGGCACGGGGCCTTCCGAAGGCAACCTTTTGCGACCGGAAGCCCCGCCGAGGACTGTGACCATCGTCCACAGCCACCACCTCTGTGGGAGGGCCACCTTAAGGTCTGCCACGGAAATCCAACAGACTGCGATGGAGCTTGGGGACCTGTCTTAGGGCCTTAGAGCTCCTAAACTCACCCAAGATTCTGGAACACGTGGTGCGAAAATGTAAGTTTCCCAACTCCTAATCTGCCTGGCTATTTATGGTTTCGTTCCCCTTTTTGGTACAAAACGGGGAAGCCACTGAGCCTCAAGAGGTAAACACTGGGGTCCCTTCACTGATGTGCTTGTCTGGTTTCCCAAGAAACGTCGCTTGTTTTCATCCAGGGTTGTTGGCCCACGGTGGTTGCACACCCCGGTCAGAATCCCATCGCTCATTTTAGGAGCTGAATCAGTTGTAGAATGGGGAGAAAAAGCCAGGAGCCCATCCCACTGATTCACTGGAGCTCTTCCGGCTGGGAACAGCCACCGGCTTGTGGCCACCCAGGGCTCCTGGGAGCCCCGGTGAGGCCAAGACTTGCAGGGCTGGCCTCCCTTCTTGAACAAAACGGAGGGTCACTTGGGACGCACTTGTACGCTGCCGGGGAGCAGGGGCTGGAGAGGCCAAAAGGGACCCAGGAGGGCATCCTTAGGAGCAAAACCCGGAATTGTGTGAGCTCTCCGGCATAACTAGGTATTCGCCGTGTTCTGAATGGAAGGAGTCCAGAACACACAGAAATTTTCCAAAGGGCAGCAGCCTTAATAACAATAGCGGGAGTTGTGTTGTTATCGATAGGGACACACATGCAGGAGGGGCGGCTTCCTTTCCCTGTGCCTTCACAGCACAGGGATGGGAAGACATTCAACAGGTGAAGCTCCTCCCCACTCCACGGCTTCCGTGCAAGGAAGGAAGAGGCTGAGGACCCCGTTCCCCCCGCACTGCACCCTGCACGGAGCCCAGGAGCCTTTTCAGGGGTAGGGGCGAGGGAACCCGTACGAGCGACACTCGTACCGCGTCTGCTTCCAGTTAGAACTAACCCCCCCCCTTTCTGTCTCCCTTTCTTAGGAGACCTTGTCGGATGTGATCGAGAGCTCTCCGCTGGGGGTGCAGCTGCCTTTCGTGGGATATTCCTACACCTACTCCGCCGTGAAGTAAGGAGGCTTTGGAATCGCTCAGTGGTGCTTTGTAAGGGAACCCCGAGGTGGCTTCGCTCTGCCCCGTGACAGGGCTGGCCCGGAGGGTGGCTCAGAAGGAGACCCTGTTGTCGGGAGAGCTGTTCCCCCCCCTCCCCTGAAAGCCCTGGGAGGACAGAGGCGAAGGCTCAGGAGGCCAACTCTCTCTCTCCAGGTCAATGTGGCAGGTCAAGGTTGCAAAATTTCTTAGCTCCCCCGTGAAGAGTGAGCCAAAAGTGGTTTTTCAAAATTGAGGTTTCTGCAGTGTGGGCCAAATGTCTCCGTGGGGTTAAAAGGAGTGGCTTTTCCCCTCCGAAAGCCAAGACACAGGGACCCTGCGAGGAGTGGCTGATGGATCAGAAAAGCATAGACGATGCAGCCAAAGCTTTTCATTTCTAAAAGTCCCTGCAGCGAGGCAGCCGCCGGTCTTGTCATTTAGTTTTGCTCAGCAAAACAAAACAAACCCAAACCAAAACAAAAAACAAAACAAAACCTTCTTACAAATTCAACAGAGGGTGGAGACCAACAGAGGATCTCTCACTGCCCTGCAGCTGAGGAGGAAAATGTTGTGATTCCTTATTCTGGCGCACGAGAAGGGCAGAAGGGAGGGCTGAGATGTCCCCTTGTGCAGGGCCTGTTTTCCTCTTGAGAGGAGATCTGTGAGAATCTCCCTTTCTCTCAGACAGAATGAGCCCAAGGAAGGAGGCCAGAGCAACCACGACATGGAGGTGGACGGCACCGGCAGGACCTCATCGGGGGAGCAAACACCCAAGCGTCCCCCAGAAGAGCTGGTAGGTTGCAGAAGGAGGGCCAAAGGGCTGATACCAAGGGATGGCCAGCCATGAAGGGTGGGCATTCTCTGTGTGTGTGTGCGCATGCGCGCGTCTCTCTCTCTCTCTCTCTCTCTCATATCCATGTCTGGTTGAATGGATGCCTGCTCTGCCCCCTGCTAGGCATGCAAACTGCCAGATGGGCAGAAGCTGGACCTTGGCACCTTTCTCGAGTTGCAGTCGGCGCTGGAGGAGGAGCTGAGGAGCCGGGAGACGCTGTGTCAGGAGCTCAGCATGGTTAAGATGGCCAACCAAACCTTTGCCAGGTGAGAGGGCAGGGGAAATCACTCCCCGGCCTGTTCACCCTCTTCGTCCACACGTGTCCACTGACCAGCGGTCCAGGAATCACAAGGGAGCTTAAGAGCCAGGGCGTGGACCGTCAGGCCCTGGGGCTGAATCTGGGCCCTGTGGGGTCCCAGAGATTCTCTGGATGGCTGCGCCCCCTTCCCCGGGACCCCATTATTTCTGGTTTTAAATTTTGTGGGGGTGGGTGGGTTATCTTCCGTTGGAAAAGCCCGGATGGCCACTCCTAAGCCTTAATCCCCACCAGCGAGAGATTCAAGCTGAAAATACTGCAGATATTTCCACTCCCGACTTTTCACCTTATTCTTGCTGGCATGCACCTTCTCCGTTCCCAGATCTCTTTGGCCGTGGGGCGGATCTGTATTTGCCGCGGCGGGCTGGAGAGGCAAAGGTTTGGATGGGGCAGGTAAACAGGAACATGGGTTACAGAGTCAGAGAAGAGCCTCGAGGTGCTTTGTGGAAGTGGCCCCATGCTTAAGCGCCATAGGGCAAGCCAGACCCGCTGATCGCTGGTCCCCTCTTCCCCTCCCCACAAAACTATTCACCTGAAGTTTAATATGTTACTTGATGAAATTGATTAAAGCTCCCAGGAATACGGGCTGGAGAACCGTTGACCTTTATGTGCGTCTCAGCCGTGGCTTTTGTCACGTCTCTGCCTGTAATGAGACAAGCAAAACCCATGACTTGTGCCATCACAGTCGGTGACCTTTTCCACGCCCGGGTGTTGCCATTCAGTGCAGGGTTTTGAATGCGGTTGGAAAAATGAATTGCTGGTAGTAAGAGCAAAGAAATGCTTTGGGTGGATTTGGGAGGGGGTGGCTGAGCGTCCTCTTCCTCCCCACTCTTCCCATCGCAAACTGACCATCTCGTCTTCCCCTGCACAGCCAACTCAAGGAAGCCGAGAGCCGCAACTTACAGCTGGAAGCCCAGATCAAACGCCTGGAGGAGCAGATTGAAGGGATGAAGGCCGTGGGAGAGGAAGGCAAGTTTCATCAGGCCCACCTCCCACTCCACTGAGCAGCGTCCCCTTCCTTCTGTCCTCCCAGTTTAGCCTCCTGCCGAACTTCCTTCCCACTTTGGAAGGATTTTTCATAGCCGTGGGTGGGTTTCCCAGAGGTGGGCGGGCAGAATACAGTACCTGTTTTTGAACCTCCAGTTAGAGTAGCCTAGGGAAGAAATGGCCCTTAGAGATAATCCGTCAGGGGCAATTTAGGGTTGCAGAAACTTCATCCAGGCAAATTTGCATGTTTTTTTGGGGGGGAAATCAGACTTCTGAGGGATCCTCCTGCTTAAAAGCTGGGGATGAATCGCAAAACAAAGCCACCTGGTTTGCAAACGTGTGAGCGAAATTCTTGCTGTGACATGGATCTTCTAATGATAGGTCTGTTTCCACCCTCTGTATTCGAACATCAAAGCAGGAAAGCTCCCCTTAGCAGCTCTTTTTAAAGAAGGTTTGCCTAAAACATGCAGGAGGTGCATATCAAATACATAGACTGTTTGAGGGCGAGGCTTAGGGATCCCCAAATACTCCATGATTCAGGCACTGTTGATTGTTAGGGTTCTGCTGGCATGGGGACTGGGAGCAGAAGGCAAGCGTGGTGTCCGCACAGAAGCCAAAACGGGAACAGGCCCCAAAGGGAGACTCCTGAATCCGATGGACGCCCTCCGGAGTGAGCCAGAGGGCAGGAGATGGCAGACATCTGCCCCCTTGATTCATTGGAAGAAAAGCAGAATATAAATGCAAAGCATACATAAGGATCCAGAAACTTACAGGAGGAACCCGCTCACACCTTAGGTGCTCCATTCATTTTCACCAGAGAAGCTGTGACATGTCCGCTTGTGTGTGGGGTGGGTGGGTAGGTGTATGCATGTGTGTGCAGTAGACTCTGCGGTGCTCCCTCGATCCTTCTCCCTCCAAAACTGCTGGTCCAAGCGGGTCCTCGCTCATCAGAGCGGTGGCCACTCGGCTCCTTAATCTGAGTTGCACGTTCCGGGGGCTTGTATTTGAGTCTTCATAGCAGGGCTCCCCATCAGCTACATGGGACCCTCCCTGCAGAAAGCAAAACAGAAAGCGCTTCTCTGCTGATTCCTTTAATTGCCCAAGGGAGCTCCCCACCACCACCAAGAAATAAAACAAAAACCATGTTAATGAAAAATAATAATAATGCAGAGCGGGGAGGGGGTACAGAAGTAGCTTTCCAAGGTCTATGGGCCTGCAAACCTCTGGAAGTCTGCTCATCTTGCTTTATGGTGTCTGCTCTTTGGCATCCATATGGGGTGGGGTGCAAACTGCCGGCCTCTGAGCACGATGTGGCATGCATGGCATCCATGGGCTTCTCTGCCCTTCTCCCCCCCCCCACCTTGTGTTGTGGCTGCTTGCATG